GGCTCTGCACCCCCGTCCTGCCCCGGGTGTTTGTGGTGGCAGAGCTTGACCGAGCTCTGTGGTGTGAATGTGAACCCTTGCAGGTGTATTCCTGGTGCTCCCAGTTCTCCTGTGACCCCCCTTGTCCCGTTTTCCCCGTTCAGCAGTGGAGTGGGATGCCATGGCCAGCTCCTCGGACAGTGAGGACGATGGGTTCATGGCCGTGGACGCCGAGGACGCCGCGGCCGAGGGGACGATGGAGCAGGAGGAGGAGCCCCAGGCCGAGCTGGAGCTGGAGGAGAGCAGGCACAGCAGATCCATGCTGGAGCTGCCGGAGGAGGTGCTGGAATACATCCTGTCCTTCCTGTCTCCCTACCAGGAGCACAAAACCGCCGCCCTGGTGTGCAAGCAGTGGTACCGGCTGATCAAAGGTGGGCAGGGCAGGGGGTTGGGGGCCTGCCTCTGGCTGAGCCTCAGCTCTTGCTTTCCCCTCAAACTCTGGGGTCTGACTCCTGGAGAATCCCAGCACAGCCCCCCAGCCCTCGGGTCCTGGCTGTGCCCAGGGCAGTGGGATGGTGCAGAACTGAACCCTCAGCCCCTTTTGGGGCGTGAAACCCGTGGAGGGTGTGATCCCCCCACCCCTGGAGCTGTCCAAGGCCAGGTTGGATGGGGCCTGGAGCCACCTGGGATAGTGGGAGCTTCCACCCATGGCAGGGCATGGGAATGGATGAGCTTTGAGGTCCCTTCCACCCCAAAACCCCCAAAGCCCAGGACAGAGCCCCTCCATTTGCTGCACCGGGATGCTCCCGGTGGTGGCTTTGCATCCCAGCCCCATTCCCAGTGTCCCATGTCTAACGTTGGCTCTATGTTGGCCTCTTGCTCTGTCCTGAGCATTCCCAGAGCTGCTGCTCCCAGCTGGAACAGCCCCGTGCCTGGTTCCTGCAGCTCTGCAGGGGATCAGTGGGATATCAAACCTACATTAATGCATATTCACACTTCCTGAAAGAGCAGCCCTGAGCCACAGATCCTGCACTCTGCCTCCTGCCAAAGCCTCGGGGGGATATTTTAATGCTGCATGTGGATGATACAGCAAATAAGGAGGGAAAGTTGGACGAGGATCCAAACAAAACCCTCTGCTTCCCTTTGTTTGAATGCACTGCGTGATTCCTGTTGTGATTCTGACACTTCAATCACAAGCTTCATTTAAAAACCAAGGAGTTTAAGGAGAGACCACAGGTAAATCCGCTGGGATTTAACCGCACGAGGGGAACTCGTTTCTTCTGGAAAACGTGGAGCCAGGATGCCTTTGGCAGTTGTGTGGGGTGGTGGCTCGTTTGTGGACTCTGCACACCTGGAAGCATTGCTCAGATTGCAGGCATTTCCCACTTTGCCCAGAGTTTAACAGGAAGAAGGTTAAAAACAGGAGCACTGCCCAAAGTTACTCTTTTTTGCGTAATTTTGGGGCACCAACAGCCCACACCCCTGTGGAAAGGTCTTTTCCAAGTGCTGGCCTTTCCTTGGCTGGTTCCTGGAGCAGCCTTAGGAGCTGCAAAGGATGCAGCTGGAATGGCCAAGCACCTGGGATTCAGCCCAAACTGTGGGAAGCAGCCCTGGAGCAGGGGGGGAACGAGCATCCCGAGGCCCAGCGTGGCTCCAGGCTCAGTCCCAGGGGGGCTGGGCCACTCTGGGGCAATTCCAGCCAAAAAGGGAGTGAATTCCCACCTGTGAGCTGTGCCCAGCGAGGTCACTCAGGGGGAACAGTGGATTTGTTCTCTCCTGCCTCAGTTTTCCTGTTTGCCAGGACACAGCTGCTGGGAAATCCTATGGCTCACAGTCCCGTTCCCGTGTGACTCTCGGGAATCAGCTCCTTGAGGACCCTGGGCTGGATTTTTTTATTAAAAAAAACCCTTCCTGCTTTATATCCTGGAGTGGGATTTCTTGCTGGGGGTGTTCCTGGCCTGTCAGGAAGCAAATCCTTGGGGGAAAAGCTCTTGGCAGTTGTGGCATCCTCAGTGCAGGTGCCACCGAGCATCTGCTGAGCTGCTGCTGCCACAAACCTTCTCCAGAGCATTTTCTCTCCACAGGGAGCAGCCCCTCATCCCTGTTCCCCAGCAGAAATCCTGGCAGCTCCATGAGGAGCCTGTTCCCAGCTAAATCCACTTCCTCACACAGCTGAGGAGGAATCTTTTCATGCTGATTTTTGTCCCTGATGTCTGCTCACCAATCTTTTTCAAGGAGAACAGCATCAGGCTTATTATCAAACCTGTCTGTCTGATGGGAGAGGAGTTTTATTTGAAGTGGGGGAGAGAATAAGCCTGGAAGTCTGAGCATCTCCCTGAAGGCCCCCCGGTGCTCCCAGGGAGCTGCTGGCACGTGG